GCGCACGACTTTACTGTGCCGAAGAATATTTTCAGCCAATGAACCCAGTGCTTGGTGGCAGATGAGTGTCATGGAACAGCATTTTGCATGTGGCTTTCACATGTACAACGTTCAATTGATTCGGAAAAATCAGACGAGGACTTTTGCAGTTATGAGCAAGGTCCCCACGAATGGTCATGTCACTTCACAGAATACATGAACTGATAGAGTAGACTGAGGTCCCCTCAGAGAACGCTTGGGGAAGTCGGTTTCAACTGAGGACATGTCCAAAACCATGCAAAGTACTTGAGCTGCTCATGACCCCCACAATTATCAGGCCCGCTGGAACCGGTCTGGTTGGCCACCAACAAATGTTTCCTTCTGTGGAGGACGTGTGTACCCGCCATATCACACACAAAGTATAAAAGGCCATTAAACTACCGGACCAATCAAAAACTGCTTCCGGCGGTACTGATTATAGTACAGGTTTAAAAAGCAGCTCCATTTTTGTCATACATCAAACCAACTCTGTCATTGCTATGCTACTCAAAAAGAGTAGTGATGTTTATTCACAAATGAATCACAATGCTATCAGAGAACTTCGATATTCTCCAATTTTAGGGGCACTGCAGTACTATGCAAAAATTAATGCTGCTTGGTCACTGTTATGAAGCAGTCACCTCAGTACAGCAATTAAACAGGCTGATTATGTGAGCGAGATTCACGGCAAATCTTCTTCCATCAGTGCTGTTTAGTCTTGAGTGGTCCACTGAGGCAGGAAAACAACCTGTTCGGTCCTTCTATACGAGAAACAGAAAATGAACATGTTCCAGGGTGGAGGTGGCGAGTATCGGCAATGTAATGCACCTTTAGGCCAACACGACCATCATTCCGACATGGATTCTCAAACACCTTCGCTCGTGAGTGTGCCTCAGAGTGGTATTCATCAACAGATGGCTATCCTGTAAAACACATGAAAAGACATAGCAGCAACACAAAGAAACCTAATGTTATAGAAACGAATTCGAAAAACAAAGTCTACTGAACCAAGGTACAACCACACTCCAGGAAGCAAGCAAAAGTGCATATAATCCGAAGGTTGCGATGCCTGTATGTATTGTATTCTCCACAGGCCTTAGCCTAAATCGAGGGAGTCTCTGTCATGCCACACTGGATACAACATGCTGCCAGAATCACTTTCCCCAGTATTGATGATCTTTTCTTAGGGTGTTATATAAAACACATCTGTAGCCACTTCATCTTGCTCACGAAATCATACACCACCACACAAACGGGCCCTTCGGCTATTATACTTTGGGTGGTGATGTATGATATTGATAATCTATTGATACTAGGGCTGAAACTATTATATCGGTTATCCGTCTAATTGATCATTACAAGGAAACGATTTCGATTACGCTGTCTTTTTCGATTACGCGATTCTAAAAAAAAAGAAACGCCTCCAAGAATCAAAAGATGTCATGTACAGCACTACTAGATACTGTACTTTGTCCTTTTCCTCGTTTCTTTTTCTTGTCCAAATGTTTTCCAGTAGGGGCCGTGAAAAAATAAAAAAAATAAAAAACTGACTGTCTGCACCTGCACGTGATGTGCCACTGCATTGTGTAGAGTACTGTAAAAGCAGAAATTTTCGGTGGTGTTTTATTTTCGGTAACTTCGGTGCCGACAATTTTTACTGAAAATAAAACGCACCGAAATTTTCGGAACAACCGATACTGTATACATGTAGTACATGTACACCTACCTGGAGAACGGGTTTTACCGAAAATTTCCCGCTACCGAACCGCCGATTTTGGCGAATACCGAAAATATTACACCACCGAAAATTTCTGCTTTTACAGTACCCGGTTTATCTGCATGTGTGTATGTACATGTATATGTGTATTTGTCAACACGGCATACTTTGTGCTGGTCTGGCGCGACAATTTCTAGGACACAGTAATTGATATCATAATCGATAATCGAATCGATGCAAGGGTAGGTTAACCGATAGTTGAAAAGTGTAATCGTTTAACCCCTAATTGATACCATATCCAAGTCTGACTCTCACCGTGAGATCCTGGCAACAATATTACCTGGTACATGACATATTCAGACACTGATATAAGCATTTTTTTGGAACAACACGTGTGCCTATCTGCTAGAGTAATGTGACACACATGCAGAATCAGTCATAGCTAATTTTACCCCCTCACTGTTGTATGCGCAGACTCCACTTCGCGGTGTCAAGTACTCTTCTTTCGGTGGGCTACTCCACTCAGGCGCTTGTCTTAAAGGACTCACATTCATCCTACAAACCTACACGACTTGCATAGTTTTCACTGTCGGCCGAAGTGCGTGCATTGCACACATTGAGATTCACTCCCTCCGTACAGGCCAGTACAGAGCTGCCCACCAATTGAGTCTGTTTTGCGTACTCAGACTTCTGATTTTCCGTATCTTGCAGTGTGTTGCGTACTGCCGTGTACATTGCATGCAAGTTGCACTACAAAGTTTTTTGACACGCACATGCATGTCGGTGGCTGCATTTAGTAGTGTAAAACATGTGTGACTTGCACTCACGACATTATTTTTTTGTGCTACATGTACATGTTGTTGTGGTACGGCATGCACTCGCTTTGGTACAAGACTATTCATCGCTCAGCTTACACTTGCAATGCTTCTACACAGCTGATTGATCCTCTTCGATTTTCTATACCATTTGCTCAAATTCTGTAGTGCGGACAAGGAGTGATTGTCCGTAGAAATACAGAAAAATATGGAGGGCTGGTACTTGGTAGCACTGCTAGTATGGTAGTGCCAGGCTAAGCTGGCTGGAAGATCAAATACTTTTTTGGTTCTTTCAGTCATTTTCACGACCTATATTTTCTTTATCATGATCCCCGGGGTGTGACGTTCTTACGAATGCAGAAATCAGTCTTTCTAACCGAGTCTCACGTGCACTGTGAATTTGTTCTTCTTTTATTCACACGGCCATGTATCGATTCATCGCTTCTTCCCACCCGAGATCCTGTGCAACAGTGATTTAAAGATTGGCTTTATCAAATAGTGATCAGAGAGAGAGAGAGAGGATCAGTTGTGGCTGCTGTGACAGCTGCATAGAGTGTAGATTGGTGCAAACATCATTGCCCAGCAGAACCGTATTCATAGGGACCTGCGTATAGCATTTGGAAGCTATTTTTTAGAATTTTTACACGTCCAATAAGCCTGAAGCCAGAGAAGAACACCTAACTTAGACTGTCCTAACGTTATCGAACGCACTGCCAAAGTAAAAACAACATTTGAAGTGCAAACTCGATTGTGTATGCATGGAGGGCATGGGGAAGATACGGAGAGGGTGAACGTGAAGGAAATTTGTTCCGAAATCAAGAGAATCCGAGGAACCCTTGCTGCATTCTTCAGTTCGATAACGTCAGTGGGTGCATCTCAGATGTGTTGTGTGCCCAGACATACAAGTAGCACTAACCTGAGCATGAGAGCCGCTTGTCATCATCGTGGTCAGGAAAACGAAAGGACGAACGTAGAAGATTGTTGACCATGACGAACAACAGTGCATATCCAGACGACAGACGGCTTGCCAGAATCAGTCTGGTGCATCTTCAGGAATCTTCTTTCCTAATCGCATTCAGCAGTCAGCTTCGAGGTCAAGCTTTTCAGAAGGAATAATTTTCAATTTTTTTTAAATTTTGGAGAAGAAGCTTCCTTTCTAAAAAAAAGCGTTCCTTGCTTTCACGCAAGGTGCCTTGCCGGACATGTCGTCGACAGCACAGTGTCGGCAGATCCACGTTTGTAGGCTGCAGACCCGGCAGACGTTTTGATCAGCCCGGCCTGGTGGCGAGATTTCGGACCCGGGAGTACTAAAAACTGCTTGTATCCCAGGGTGCTCAGTTTCGCTCTATCCGATCGAGTAAGGCTTCCAGAAAGGCCCTCAGGTGCGCGGCCTGCGGTGCCATAATATACCTCGATCAACGGTACTTTACGGTACTACTACTACTACCGTAAAGTACCGCCAGAGCGACCCGTCTCGCGAGAGCGCCCCACCTTGATTTTACAGCCAGAGGAAAGAAGATCGTATGGCAGAGTGCAACGAAGTTTGTACGGCGTGAGAATCTTAGTGTACTAAGGTCACACTTGGCAGGTTTTTGTGTGGAGCTGGTGTTCGCTCGAAGGTACGGATTGTCTGCAAAACGTGCAATATGTGTACAAGGTTCATGTCGTATGACCTATAGACAGCAGACCACCTCCACAATACGACCACGAAAGGATGAGATGGTGGGGCGCTCTGGCGGTACTTTACGGTACTAACTGTTTCTGTCTCCGCTCTAATTCTACCTGCACTAGTTCTCGCACCCGCTCTCAAGTGTCCTCTTCCCTTGCTCTTCCGACAGCCAAACGTCGCTATGGTTTATTTTCTGTCACTTTCCTTGGCTCTGACCGCTGGAATGCCCTCCCAGCGGAGGTCCGCTCAAGTTCTTCCTTGCATACCTTCCGTAATTCTGTTCTTCATTTTTTAGGGTACCCTGTCAAAAGGCCTTAGGCCTGTGGGGATTGCCCTATCAAAAATTTAATAATAATAATAATAATAATAATATTAACTGGTTTGAGGGAAAGAGACAAACGGGAAAAGTCTGAAGAAAAAATTGACTGTCACCACCAGGACTCGAACCAGGGACCCTCGCTTGTAGCCAGCGATGCTCTAACCACTGAGCTATGGTATAGTCGTCATCCCAGCAGAGACCGTTCAACGTTTTCCTCAGACTTCGTAACAATAAAAATAATAAATACTACTACTACTGATACCAAGAGTACATAACCCCAAGAGCTACATCTACTGTTCTTTCAATCAAATGAACCCCTCGATAGGCACATTGCCTTTGGGTCATTTCATAATAATAATAATAAATAAATAAAAAAAGAGTGTGCAACTGGCTGGTGCCTGCACAACCTCTATGCTGTGCTGCGACGGCAGAACTTCACATCACGTGACATGGTTCAAAAGGTTATGCTGGCAAACAGTGCAAAGCCAGATGGTGTGTTGGCTTCTTCTTCTTCTTCTTCTTCTTCTTCTTCTTCTTCTTCTTCTTCTTCTTCTTCTTCTTCTTCTTCTTCTTCTTCTTCTTCTTCTTCTTCTTCTTCTTCTTCTTCTTCTTCTTCTTCCGCCTGCCCTTCCTCACTCCATCAAGGAAGGTACACGTGGCGCCATGACAACGTCCTGAAACAGATCAGTAAATTCATGACAGAAATAGTATCAGCAAAGCAAAAGTCGTCAAATAAAAAGGCGCTGACGCCTGTTGGGAATTCCCTAGTAAAAGAAGAATAAATAATAATAATAATAATAATAAATACCGAGCAAACTCCAACTAATGGTACATACATTACCTTCTGTAAACCGGGTCAAAACATCCCCCATGGCGAGTTACCTCAGCGGAAAGGTCTGGGCGATGGTTTTTTGTCAGGATCACATGATTGGCAGCTTCTTTCAGATCTGGACGAGAGGCTGGTATTCCCACACTTTATTGCACCTACCACGTGTCGTCCAGACATAGTTCTCTTCTCGAAGAAATTGAGAAGGGTTCTTTGGCTGGAACTCACGGTGTGTAGCGAAGACCGCATCATCCAGTCCAGGGAGAAGAAGCTGTCACGGTATCGCCACCTCAAACAGGAGTGTGTGAAGAATGGCTGGGAAGTCGAGGCCCTCACAGCAGAGGTGGGAGCTAGAGGAGCCATTTCCAGCAGCCTGGACGGTTTGGCACGGGCATTGGGCTGTTGTAAGGAAAAACAGCGCCAAATAAGAAGGAACTGCAGAAACGCAGCACTAAATTCCAGCTACGTTATCTGGCTGAGGCGACGTGAGAAGGCTTGGCGCGACTGGCCACTGTTTTAAAAGTCCCCGAGAGGCCGTTTGTTGGCACTTGGTTGGCGGACAGCCACCCAGCGAGGATAGTTGGGTACCCTTCAAATCTTGGTTTTAACTCGCCACACCGGCTTCTAAAGGGCCGGGGGTGGGTGTTCGCCAACCAAGTCGAGCTTTCGTTCGTTTTTTTTCGTTTTTCTAGTCCACTTGCTTGTGCTGCGCCGCGCTGGAGCGAGTCTATCAGTAGATGCTTTCGCCGCTTAGAGCTACTATTGCACAAAGCCACAACACTGCGCGCTGCCATTCGCTGTATGCTTTCGCTGCACCAAGCTGCTGTTAAGCTGCACGACGCCACAACACAAATTCACTACAACAGTCTCGTCCACAACTTCACTACAAGTGTCTCGTCCATATTGCACTACGCTGAGCACTGGCCTGCTCCCGCTCTGAAGAGCTTTTTTGCCTTCACCGCTTTTGCTCAACCCCAGGCATTGGCCCACAGTGGCATCCGCTTCTTTTTTCTTTTTCTTTTCTCCTTTTACTTTCTCCGTCACTGCCTAAAAAACAGTCGAGACGGTTTTTTACCCACCAGTTTTTATTGGTGCGAATTACTTTCCTTCTTCTTCTTCTTCTTCTTCTTCTTCGATTCGCCACCGCAGGAGCATTGCTGTGGAACAGTTTGCCTAGAGAGGTGCGCACCGTATCCAGATTGCAAGATTTTAAGCTAGCCTGCCTTCCTTATGTATGCCTGAAATAGGTTGTGTTTCGTCAGGTTCTGACATGTTCCTTTCTTCTCAGTATTCTCGCTCGCATAGTACTCCACTTCTATGATAATATTGCCTATGCTGTTGCTCATTAGGATTTTGGCAAATTCTATCCTTCGCTTTCATATAACTGGGCCAGGAACCCGTTTGAACTTGCGAAGTAAAATAAAATCAATCAATCAATCTTCTTCTTCTTCTTCTTCTTCTTCTTCTTCTTCTTCTTCTTCTTCTTCTTCTTCTTCTTCTTCTTCTTCTTCTTCTTCTTCTTCTTCTTCTTCTTCTTCTTCTTCTTCTTCTTCTTCTTCTTCTTCTTCTTCTTCTTCTTCTTCTTCTTCTTCTTCTTCTTCTTCTTACCTAAAGGGCCTACAAATGCAAGGGGCCTGGACCAAATGGGCAGACACAATGTTCGAGGACATGACATGGCGGAAACTCTTATACGAGGGCTATGGAAGGACGATATCGTTCCAAATGAACGCGATACTTAATACTCTGCCTTCGCCTGACAATCTGAGACGATGGGGCAACTCTGTTGTGGACCGGAATTGCCCTCTTTGTCAGCGGACATCAACACTGAGGCACATTCTCACCGCCTGCCCTTCCTCACTCCATCAAGGAAGGTACACGTGGCGCCATGACAACGTCCTGAAACAGATCAGTAAATTCATGACAGAAATAGTATCAGCAAAGCAAAAGTCGTCAAATACCGAGCAAACTCCCACTAATGGTACATACATTACCTTCTTTAAACCGGGTCAAAACATCCCCCATGGCCAGTTACCTCAGCGGAAAGGTCTGAGCGATGGTTTTTTGTCAGGATCACGTGATTGGCAGCTTCTTTCAGATCTGGACGAGAGGCTGGTATTCCCACACTTTATTGCACCTACCACGTGTCGTCCAGACATAGTTCTCTTCTCGAAGAAATTGAGAAGGGTTCTTTGGCTGGAACTCACGGTGTGTAGCGAAGACCGCATCATCCAGTCCAGGGAGAAGAAGCTGTCACGGTATCGCCACCTCAAACAGGAGTGTGTGAAGAATGGCTGGGAAGTCGAGGCCCTCACAGCAGAGGTGGGAGCTAGAGGAGCCATTTCCAGCAGCCTGGACGGTTTGGCACGGGCATTGGGCTGTTGTAAGGTTTTTAGCCTTCACCGTTTTTGCTCAACCTCAGGCATTGGCCCACAGTGGCATCCGCTTCCTTTTTTCTTTTTCTTTTCTCCTTTTACTTTCTCCGTCACTGCCTAAAAAACAGTCGAGACGGTTTTTTACCCACCAGTTTTATTGGTGCGAATTACTTTCCTTCTTCTTCTTCTTCTTCTTCTTCTTCTTCTTCTTCTTCTTCTTCTTCTTCTTCTTCTTCTTCTTCTTCTTCTTCTTCTTCTTCTTCTTCTTCTTCTTCTTCTTCTTCTTCTTCTTCTTCTTCTTCTTCTTCTCGTCCTGATGGACATGAAGGATGAGAAACTTGTTTTCCCCCACTTCATAGCACCTACAACCTGTCGTCCAGACATAGTGCTCTTCTCCAAAGAATTGAGAAGAGTTCTGTGGCTGGAACTCACGGTATGTAGTGAAGATCGCTTTGCACAATCGCGCGAAATCAAAATCGAACGCTATCGTCACCTTCATAGCGCGTGTGTAAGGAATGGCTGGGATATGGAAAGTCACACAGCAGAGGTGGGAGCGAGAGGCGCCATATCCACCAGCTTGGATTCCTTCGCGAGATCCTTGCGCTGCACTAAGGAACAGCGCAGGCTCTTGCGGAGGAATTGTCGCCAAGCAGCGCTGAACTCAAGCTATGTCCTATGGCTAAGGCGAAGGGAGCGAACATGGCGCGACTGGCCGTTGTATTAAAACTGTTTGGTGAACCTGTTGTAGAGCACTTGGTGGGCGATCGGCCACCCAGCGAGGATAGTTGGACGTCCTTAAAATCAAGATTTGAACTCGCCATTCCGGCCTCTAAAGGGCCGGGGGTGGACGATCGCCAACCTTGCCAACCTCTCGTAGTCACTTGTTCTTGTCGAATCGTTATTTTCATAGCCTACTCGACATTCACCCTACAAATTACCATACATCACAACGCAACTACCTGTACATGACACACCTTACCATACGGACACAACCACACCCCAACTGTACTGGGGGCCTATCTCTTCGAATTGCATTATATGAGTTTCTTTTTCCTTTTTTCTTTACCCGTTACTGTCTAAAAAGCAGTCGAAACGGTTTTTATCCACCATTTTATGGTGAACATTTCCCTTCTTCTTCTTCTTCTTCTTCTTCTTCTTCTTCTTGGTGGGCGATCGGCCACCCAGCGAGGATAGTTGGACGTTCTTAAAATCAAGATTTGAACTCGCCATTCCGGCCTCTAAAGGGCCGGGGGTGGACGATCGCCAACCTTGCCAACCTCTCGTAGTCACTTGTTCTTGTCGAATCGTTATTTTCATAGCCTACTCGACATTCGCCCTACAAATTACCATACATCACAACGCAACTACCTGTACATGACACACCATACCATACGGACACAACCACACCCCAACTGTACTGGGGGCCTATCTCTTCGAATTGCATTATATGAGTTTCTTTTTCCTTTTTTCTTTACCCGTTACTGTCTAAAAAGCAGTCGAAACGGTTTTTATCCACCATTTGATGGTGAGCATTTCCCTTCTTCTTCTTCTTCTTCTTCTTCTTCTTCTTCTGCTATCGTCACCTTCATAGCGCGTGTGTAAGGAATGGCTGGGATACGGAAAGTCACACAGCAGAGGTGGGAGCGAGAGGCGCCATATCCACCAGCTTGGATTCCTTCGCGAGATCCTTGCGCTGCACTAAGGAACAGCGCAGGCTCTTGCGGAGGAATTGTCGCCAAGCAGCGCTGAACTCAAGCTATGTCCTATGGCTAAGGCGAAGGGAGCGAACATGGCGCGACTGGCCGTTGTATTAAAACTGTTTGGTGAACCTGTTGTAGAGCACTTGGTGGGCGATCGGCCACCCAGCGAGGATAGTTGGACGTCCTTAAAATCAAGATTTGAACTCGCCATTCCGGCCTCTAAAGGGCCGGGGGTGGACGATCGCCAACCTTGCCAACCTCTCGTAGTCACTTGTTCTTGTCGAATCGTTATTTTCATAGCCTACTCGACATTCACCCTACAAATTACCATACATCACAACGCAACTACCTGTACATGACACACCATACCATACGGACACAACCACACCCCAACTGTACTGGGGGCCTATCTCTTCGAATTGCATTATATGAGTTTCTTTTTCCTTTTTTCTTTACCCGTTACTGTCTAAAAAGCAGTCGAAACGGTTTTTATCCACCATTTGATGGTGAGCATTTCCCTTCTTCTTCTTCTTCTTTTTTTTTTTTTACATGCAAATGATGATAAACCGGATCAGGATCTGCCCAATAACAAATTGTACCTGCCAAGGTCTAGCCTTGCCTGGTCAAAAGCAGACCAACAACTTGAGCAACACATTAAGCGCCATTTTCCTCTGTCAAAAATCAAGAATGCTGACCCTGATGAATCCCTAGGTCAACTAACGTCTTTCTTAAGATTTTTCTTCACTGACTACACCGCCTTGGATGCAGTTCCAAAGCGCCAGTCGACCAAACCACGCCAATCCAGATGCCTAACGGAGCTCTACATGGAGCGCCGCGCCCTACGAAAACAATACCGAGCCAGGGACCAATTAGACGAGCATGTGGTTGAGATCCTCAGAAAGGATTATAACCGGGTGCAGAAGGACATAAAAAAACTGCGGAAAATCATCAAAACACACGAGCAGGATCGCGAAGCACAAAAGCAACGCTCTGCCTTCCTCCGAGACCCCCATAAGTTCGCCAAACGGCTATCCCGGAAAGGAACGCCCGTCAATCCTGAATTCTCAGAACAGACTTGTTTTGATTACTTCTCCAAGCTGTATGAAGACCCGGAACGTGGTCAAACTTTCTCCCTGCCGGATTTTTCTCCAGCCACGAGCAAACCGTCCACTCCGTTAACTGACGGGAGTCCAACATGGACCCTGTTTCAAAATACCCTAAGAAAATGCAGGAACAAGTCAGCTCCTGGTTCAAACTGTATTCCGTACATAATCTGGAAACGATGCAAATGCCTGCACAATATCCTTTTCAGCATCTTCGAAACAGTTTGGAAGACTGGTGTCATCCCGCGATCTTGGCAGTGCGCCTCCGTTACACTAATTGCTAAAAGTGACAGTGTGTCAGATCCAGCAAAGTTCCGACCAATCGCTCTATCCAACTGCGATGGTTGTTGTGTTTATTTTTAATTCTCAAACCAAACGGGCAGATCTGCCCAATGAAAAGGTGGCGAATGCAGATAGAAAGCAGTAATAAATGAAATTGGGGACTGATGTAATTAGGATAGAGGTGGAGAAAAACTAAGCCAGCTGATCATCAAACAGGACGTCTGGTACTCTAGGTACTAAGGCCAGTAAGTGTGTGAGGGATCATGCTGGCGCGGAACTGGCGGAGCGTGGAGATGGCACGTATATCGCTGGGTAATGTGTTCCACAGCTGGGCGCCCCGGAACGCGAGGCAACCCTTGCCGAACCTGGTGGAAACTGGCGGTTGGCGCAGACCCATGGTGGAGTGCAACCTAGTTGGGCCAGCTGACGAAGGAACTAGGAGGGCTTGCAGTTCAGAACTTGCGTGCTCATTCCGAGACCTCCAGACCAGAACGATGAACTTCTGCCTGAATATCTCGGATACTCTGTAGGTGTCCAATTGCAGCAGGAGGGTACGCGCGGAGGTGTGATGCGAGAGTCCGAAAACCGCCCTTGCCGCCCGATTCTGCATGACTTGTAGCCGATCCAATTGGTTGGCAGTAAGAAGCGGGGAAAACGCATTGGATCCGTACATCAGGTCAGACATGATGATCGCTTTAAAGTAGAGAACTCGGCTCTGATGAGTCAAGCAGCGACGCAACCTCCATAGTGCTCCGATCCTCTGGGCCAGTCGAGCGGTGCAGCGATCAACATGGGGCGTCCATGACAGATCCGAGTCGAGGAGCACTCCAAGATACCTGGCCGCAGTAACGACAGGAATCGGCGTTTCATGACAGTTTACATTGATCGTATGCTGGGGCTGCTGAGGCTGCCTGTTGGGGTATACAGGGATCACGTGGCTCTTGGCTGCATTCAAAATGAGACCACGGGTCTGCAACCAGTCAGCAAGTGCAGAAACCGAGGCCGATAGCGTAGCAGATACCGTGTCCAGGGATGTGCTGCTGCTGATCAGCGCAATGTCATCGGCAAATTGAACTGATGAAGACTGGTTAGCTATGGTTGGAACTTCGCGGGTGTAGATACTGAAAAGGATCGGTCCTAGAACAGAACCTTGTGGCACGCCACAGGATGGTGCAGAAATGGCACTCTGATCCCGTCCAATACAGATACGCTGAGTACGGCCCGACAGATAGGCGGAAAACCACTTTAGGGCTGTCCCTGTTATGCCGATATCGAATAGGTCCTGGAGTAGCCGTTCATGACGAACCTTGTCGAATGCCTTTGACATATCTAGAAGGCATATGCCAGTACACAAACGCTTGTCCCGTGCACTAAGAATACGATTTAGCATAAGTACCAGGGCATCCTCCGTTGAGTGGCCTGCGCGGAATGCAAACTGAGTCGTGGGGAGGGTACCAGATATGTCCAGAAACTGGGCTAGCTTCTTTTGTACGACTTTCTCCAAGAGTTTTGATAATATGGGAAGTAGGGACACTGGACGGAAGTTAGTGGGAATAGACGGGTCCCCGGCTTTGAACAGCGGGATAACGTGTGCGAGTTTGAAGGCTGTGGGGACAGTGCCATTGACAAGCGAGGCATTAAACAACGTGGCCACGGACGCAGCTAGGATATCGGCACAGCACTTCAGAAGGTGACCAGGTATCCCGTCGCTTCCTGTTGCTTTGGCAGGATTGATTTGTCGGAGAAGCCGTTCTACTTCGCCAAAAGACACTTGCGGCAATTCTGACATTGCAGTCTGAGGCTGTGGACCTTGCGGTAGCGGGATGCTGTGAGGACGGGCATTGTCTGTTACTACTGCCTGGAAGACTGACGAAACTTCTTCAATGGGGCAAGTAGGCTCCACACGTACTCTCTTCCTGTTCGTAACGGAGTTTATGACGTTCCAGAGCTTACGCGGGTTCTGACTGGACGCGGCACATTGCGCTCGGAAGAAATCATTGCGCTTTCGGCGATAGGCATTTCTGGCGCTTGAGCGTGCTTGCTTGAACTGTACGTGAAGATTCTGGTTTCCCTTATCGCGTAGCCACCGTCGGTGTAGCTGGTTTATACGTTGGTTGAGCTTGTGGAGCTCTCTGTCGGACCAGGGCGGATGGGATTTGCGGTTGGAGGATACATAGCGGATGGGTGCATGCTTGTCCACGACAGCCAAGAACTTGGTATGCCACGACGCCCACATGGTGTCCACATCCCGCGTGTTAGTAAAATCATCCAGCCCTGCGGAGCTGACATCCCGACGAAATTCACAGAGGTTCACCGACCGAGTATTTCTCTGAGCTCGGACCCGCTCTACTGCCTGAGGTGACACGCTGCGAGAAACCTGAAGGTGCAGGTTAGCCTCAATCCCAAAGTGGTCGCTAATGGTCAAAGGCAGGACGTGGCACTCACTGATGTCTTGACTAGCTGAAAGAATGAGATCGATAGTTGTACCTGATGGGCACGCCGGTGAGATACGAGTCGGAGCATGAACGTGATTAGTGAGGCCGTAGCAGTTGCAAAGTTCGAGAAATTTCCGGGCGATAGGACAAGGTGGGTAGGGGGTTGAAACATTAACGTTAAAATCGCCAATGACTGTGATGCTTGGGTTGTCCACGGTAAGATCTTCTTTGCCATGCTGTCCAAGATACTAACTCGCCATATGTTGGTGATTGAGTATTTTGATGGCATGACACAGAAAGGTTTCCTGCCGGGAATGTCAGGCTGTGTGGAGCATGCTACTCTGTGTAGCGAAGCCATGAAAGACTCGAAGAGGAACAAGCGCTCCATAGCCATTGTGTGGATAGACCTAAAGAACGCGTTCGGATCAGTAAAGCACAATTTAATTCAAGCGGCATTGCATCGGTACCATATCCCACTGAAAATCAGAAGACTTGTATTTTCTTACTACGAACATCTCACTGCTTCCGTACGAAAGCCCCAGACCCGGACGTTCCGGTACAGTATCGGTGTGTTTCAGGGATGCCCACTGTCCCCAGTACTGTTCAATATTACCTTCCGAGTCCTCCTCGATGCCCTCCAGGCAAAACCCCTACAGGCACTTTCATACAATTTCAAGCAGACGGATATCACTGCTTCTAACACTGGTTTCGCAGATGATTTAGCCGTTTTTAGTAACAGAACCCATGGCGCACAAAAGAAACTAGATGTTGTGGACAAGTTTTTGTCCTGGTCTCAAATGAAAGCTGCCCCGCATAAATGCAGGACCTACGCGGCGAAACTAATCAACAACAAGTACACCTGTTTCGACCCCGGCCTTACAATATCCGGCAAGGATGTACCGCCGCTAAATGGTCGGCAATTCAAATTTCTGGGGAGAAATTTGACGGACAATATGAAAGAGGAGGAACAACGCAAAGATCTCGTTGACCTTACTAGATACCTCTTAAAACTGGTGCATGAAACCCACCTTGTCGGTCACCAGAAACTCTGGCTCTATCAACATCTGATCATCCCGAAAATATCATGGCACCTAGAGATACTTGACCTGTGTTACAGTTTTGCCAAAATGCTTCATCACATCAGCCTCTCCTTTATTAAAAAGTGGGCAGGCCTACCCAAGGCTGCAAACACCGCCATCCTCTTCACCGGAAATCGAGAAAGGCCAGGCCTCCGGCTCATGTGTATCACAACACTATGGAAGCAGCAGCAAACTATTAAATGGCACATTATCAAGCACAGCAAAGACCACAACATCGCTCAACTGTATTGCCATCACAGAAAACAAGAACAAACGTTCACCCGTAGGTTCTCGCCGGTTGTGGAATTGGAATGTGCCGAAACGGCCGTATGGGACACGCCTGCTTCGCGACCGCCCAGAGCCGGACTGGGCTTTGTGACACCAAAAGCACGCGTGGTAAAACCAAGGAAACAAATCCTCAATACAGTCAGAGAAGGCGACTGCCAGGAGCAGCTCCGGCACCTAAAGGGCCTACAAATGCAAGGGGCCTGGACCAAATGGGCAGACACAATGTTCGAGGACATGACATGGCGGAAACTCTTATACGAGGGCTATGGAAGGACGATATCGTTCCAAATGAACGCGATACTTAATACTCTGCCTTCGCCTGACAATCTGAGACGATGGGGCAACTCTGTTGTGGACCGGAATTGCCCTCTTTGTCAGCGGACATCAACACTGAGGCACATTCTCACCGCCTGCCCTTCCTCACTCCATCAAGGAAGGTACACGTGGCGCCATGACAACGTCCTGAAACAGATCAGTAAATTCATGACAGAAATAGTATCAGCAAAGCAAAAGTCGTCAAATACCGAGCAAACTCCCACTAATGGTACATACATTACCTTCTGTAAACCGGGTCAAAACATCCCCCATGGCGAGTTACCTCAGCGGAAAGGTCTGAGCGATGGTTTTTTTGTCAGGATAACATGATTGGCAGCTTCTTTCAGATCTGGACGAGAGGCTGGTATTCCCACACTTTATTGCACCTACCACGTGTCGTCCAGACATAGTTCTCTTCTCGAAGAAATTGAGAAGGGTTCTTTGGCTGGAACTCACGGTGTGTAGCGAAGACCGCATCATCCAGTCCAGGGAGAAGAAGCTGTCACGGTATCGCCACCTCAAACAGGAGTGTGTGAAGAATGGCTGGGAAGTCGAGGCCCTCACAGCAGAGGTGGGAGCTAGAGGAGCCATTTCCAGCAGCCTGGACGGTTTGGCACGGGCATTGGGCTGTTGTAAGGAAAAACAGCGCCAAATAAGAAGGAACTGCAGAAACGCAGCACTAAATTCCAGCTACGTTTTCTGGCTGAGGCGACGTGAGAAGGCTTGGCGCGACTGGCCACTGTTTTAAAAGTCCCCGAGAGGCCGTTTGTTGGCACTTGGTTGGCGGACAGCCACCCAGCGAGGATAGTTGGGTACCCTTCAAATCTTGGTTTTAACTCGCCACACCGGCTTCTAAAGGGCCGGGGGTGGGTGTTCGCCAACCAAGTCGAGCTTTCGTTAGTTTTTTTCGTTTTTCTAGTTTACTTGCTTGTCCTGCGCCGCGCTGGAGCGAGTCTATCAGTAGATGCTTTCGCCACATAGAGCTACTATTGCACAAAGCCACAACACTGCGCGCTGCCATTCGCTGTATGCTTTCGCTGCACCAAGCTGCTGTTTAGCTGCAAGACGCCACAACACAACTTCACTACAACAGTCTCGTCCACAACTTCACTACAAGAGTCTCGTCCATATTGCACTACGCTGAGCACTGGCCTGCTCCCGCTCTAAAGAGGTTTTTAGCCTTCACCGTTTTTGCTCAACCTCAGGCATTGGCCCACAGTGGCATCCGCTTCCTTTTTTCTTTTTCTTTTGGTTGGGTTGGTTGTACGAAGTAGTGGTTGCGACTTCGGCGATGATTTGTAAGAAAGGTGTGCTCCCCACACCGGAGCTCGCGCTATTCCGCCGACTTTACTTGACACTTGACTGACTCACGACTGCCATCCAGAGCACACGAGAAGTCCATCGAACCTTCGACTCGGCAAACCTGCAAGAAAGCACCACTCCCTGCTCAATACACAGTGTTTCGGGGAATTCACCCCTCATCAGTTGAGCTTGAGTAGGCTGAGGAAGATTGTGCCTGAAGAGCACCACTTATATAGTGCTCTCCAGGCACAAACATCACCAGGGATACAAACTTACAGAGATGCTCCGCTTCCAGCGCGATAAACACCTCGTGAACACCAGATAGCAGCGTGAGTCAGTGTCGCTCCTGGACGGGGAGACAGACGTAGAGGACCCTCGGTCATTCGCAACGCTGTCACCTCCAAACCAACTAGTCGCAAGCCCGCGCTGGGCACAACAGTACTGTTGTGCCCAGCGCGGGCTTGCGACTAGTTGGTTTGGAGGTGACAGCGTTGCGAATGACCGAGGGTCCTCGACGTCTGTCTCACCGTCCAGGAGCGACACTGACTCACGCTGCTATCTGGTGTTCACGAGGTGTTTGTCGCGCCGGAAGCGGAGCGTCTCTGTAAGTTTGTATCCCTAGTGATGTTTGTGCCTGGAAAGCACTATATAAGTGGTGCTCTTCAGGCACAATCTTCCTCAGCCTACTCAAGCTCAACTGATGAGGGGTGAATTCCCCGAAACACTGTGTATTGAGCAGGGAGTGGTGCTTTCTTGCAGGTTTGCCGAGTCGAAGGTTCGATGGACTTCTCGTGTGCTCTGGATGGCAGTCGTGAGTCAGTCAAGTGGGTTGGTTGTGTTTATTTAAATTCGCAAACCGAACGGACTGAACATGTCCAATGACAAGGAAGCGAATGAAGTCCAAATAACCAGGAATGGGGACAGAGATGAAAAGAAAATAATGGGAACAGAAGGTTCTCGGCTTTTCTCCTTTTACTTTCTCCGTCACTGCCTAAAAAACAGTCGAGACGGTTTTTTACCCACCAGTTTTATTGGTGCGAATTACTTTCCTTCTTCTTCTTGTTCTTCTTCGGTAACTACAAGTCATAATAAATATGAAAATGACTGTGAGAGTACAGTGTACATGTAGTAGAAACTTAGATCAGTTTCTCCAGTTGCAAGAACTGGATAGCTTCTGATGGTTGTGTGAGAATTGCCTCCCTGACTGACGTGAAGGTACATAGACGTGTACCTGCTCGACTGCTGTGTCTGGCAGGGCAAGCTAGCAGGAGGTGGGCAGCATCATCAACTGTTCCAGGACAGTGAGTGCAATCTGGTGAAGGTACCGCGTCATTCTGGAACAAGTACTTGTTCAGCAGGCTGCAGTGGCCAGTGAGGAGCTGATTGAGGATGGTGGCCTCATGCCGGGACGGAGGGCTGCGGAACTTGCTGGTGTTGAGTAATGGCCGGGGTATGCGGTTGCAGACCGAATTGAAGCCTTGGCAGCTTGGGTAGGTAGCTGAACCTGGGCCTGTACACACTGTGTTCCATTCCGGGCAAGGCGATCCGCCTTGCCATTGAGAGCAACACCGCAGTGGCTGCTGATCCAGACAAGGTTGATGGAATGAGCCTTCCCAGCAACCTCCGTCAGAGCAATGAACGCAGCAATGGTGTCTAGGCTGATCCTGTATGGGTCTCCACGGAGGGCATCTACGAGGGAGAGGCTGTCAGTGACCAGCACAACGTCCGTCTCCATGGTGGTAAGGTCGTAGACTGCCCTCAGGCCAGCTCAGATGCATGCTAAGCTTTTCGCTAGCCAGGTCTGCTATTCGCTGTGT